TTCGCGTTCATGTCGTATACCTCGACCCATTTGGTATACGAGTCTACAACGACTAAATACGAGCGACCGTTCAACGGGCCTAAAAAGTCGATGTGCACCCTGTAAAACGGCTGAGGAGGAAACCTCCACGGCGTCAGTTTAGCCCGCGGAGGTGCCGGCCTCAGCCGGGTGCATATATCACACGACCCAATTAACCTTTCAATGGCATCGTCTACTCCCGGAAACCAAAATCGGGACCTCGCTTCGGCTTTTGTTTTTACTATCCCTAAATGTGACGTGTGCAATTCGTCCATTATCTTTTTACGTAAGGAATTTGGAATGATTACTTTGTGTCCCCTCATTAAGCAGCCGTTTTCTACCGATAGTTGATGTCGGCACAAAAAGTACGGCTTCAACTTTAAATCGGCAATTTTGCTAGGCCAGCCGTTTAAAACATGCTTCGCGACGCGGGACAAAATAACATCTTTTGCCGTTTCGTGACGTAGTTCGCTAACGGTCGTAGGCAACGTTCCGTCCACCACGAAACAAACATACGCGGCCCTGTCGCACAACGCCGCGGCGGCGTCTGCGCACGACGCGCGCGCCCCCTCTGTGGCCCTCGCGCCGCGCTCCCCCGCCCCTGCTATGCTCGCACGGGATAGATAGTCCGCATTGTTATCGGCACTGCGAACGTACTCTATGACGTAATTATACGCACTTAAAAACATCGCATATCGTTGCAGTCTATTTGCCGACACTTCCGGAATCCCTTTATGCGGGCCAAAGATAGTAATCAAAGGCTTGTGGTCGGTTCGTAAGACGAAAGGATCCGATCGACCATACAAGTATTGGTGAAACCGACGCACCCCGAATATGATCGCAGTAGCTTCCTTTTGTATCTGCGAGTACCTATTTTCAGCGGGCGTGAGTGTGCGCGACGCGTATGAAACCGGTCGTTCCGCGCCGTCTTCTCCCACTTGTGACAATATCGCCCCGAGGCCGGTGGGAGACGCGTCGACCGTTAGGATAAGTTTGGCCCTTTGACATATATATTTTATATATTTTATAGGTTGTGATATTTTTTTTAATATGTATATGAGTGGTATGGGCATGTTATGAGAAGGGATGAATCGCATGTAACAAGAAGGATGTTAGTTATGAATGTGGAGGGGTACATCGGTAGAGGTAGACCTAGAAAGAGATGGATGGATAGCGTGAAAGGTGACATGATCAAGAAGGGAGTGATGACTGAGATGACGGATGATAGAATGCTTTGGAGGACGAAAACCCGCTGCGCCGACCCTATGGGAGTAGGATAAGGCAGGGGAGATGATGTATATGAGTAGATTTTACTTAGTAATCGGTCGATGGCGTGGATATCGACGTTTACATGTTGATGAATTTATTTAACTCGAATATAAGTATATTTCAAAGTTAGTTTTTGAAATATAGAGCACTCTACAGACGTCTGAAAGTTAGAACGGAGCGTCTATAGTTTTTCACTTTACAGAAACACGTTTAATATCTCATTCCTGTGCCCTGATACAGCAAAATGTTTGTGTGCTTCGGCAATAAGAATTGAAGTTTGTGTTGTTAATAACAGTTGCTATTTCTAGTTTTATTGCTTTTTACTTTCCGGTCATGAAGCATAAAAATACATGAATATTTTTATATAGCCTGTTCATATCAACTTTTCGATCTTTTATCTTGGTAAAGGAAAACGTGACGGAAATAAGTCAGACAAGTATTCCAGAAACGTATTCATCCTTAATTATGTTTTAATTTAAGATATAATGAACAAAATCATTCTGTTTAAGAGCGTATGCACACCTTTAACTAAATTATCGAACAACTTTTTAGTCTGGCTTTGATTCCTATGAGCATATATAGAGGTGCGCACTACTCGATTTTTAGTTGCGCAACTAAACAGTTGAATGGGCTGCGAAACAATCGACAATCGCACAACCGTTGTGCCATAGTTTATTAAAAGGTGTACATCCGTTCTAAGAGCTTCGGTGACTTAGGAGTTAAGTATTTGATTTTTAAAAAGTCGAATTCCTCGCTATGGCAAGGAATTATTAGATATCACAGTTTCATGTACATTTATCCCACGTTCTTACAGTGACGAAAAACATCGTTATGTCTTTACATCTGCGAAGAACTTCAAATATATGTGAAGTCAAACCACAGTGCAGTGTGGTTGACTATGGTCTAGTCATCACTAACTTATGGTGGACTTAATTCCGTCAGTGGGCATTGTTTATTGTACCTACACTTTTCTAGTAATAATTGACAGATCCAGTTTTTCAATTAAATAATTACATTAGTCAAAATTACTGTAGACTATAAATATACCAAAACTTCAAACCAGACGAATAAAAATCACACATACGTTTACATGAAAATATTTATGGCTGCGTCAGTTTTTATTACAACGGATTTTATGAGAAAAATTTCCATGTAAAAATTACGACTCGCTAAGTTAAGGATAGCTTAAGTTAACGATGATTACAAGTGATTCTTGTATGAGTTTTGTGGATGTATTTGTATATGTATTTTACAGTGGTAGTGCCCGCGTTAACATCTTAGCGCTGCAGGACCGACACGCCCGGTGTAATACCACGACCACATAGAAGACAGGCGTGAAATGGAAGCAATTCCGTGTTTCGTCTGATAAGTGTGGTGCCGGAGGCCTAATTCAAGTCCCTTACTCCTTACCACCCTTTTCTCATAAAGAGAGGATTGGAAGGGGAAGTGGATTTGACAGTGGAGGAGATGCATAGGAAGGGAAAATGTCCTCTTTATGTGCGTCTCCTCCTCCGTCGGATAAGGGTAGGCAACGCATCTGCAATTTCGGATGTTTATGGGCAGCGGTCGCTTCGCCATTTTGGCGGATTCGGGGGCCGCTTGCTCGTTTGCCACCTTATGTTAAAAAAAATACTTTAAATTAAACCGGAATACTTAAATCTAAGTTATTTATTTTACAAGAACAGAATTAATTAAAACACGTTTACATTTTTAAATAGGTTTTTTTTTAATTTTTTAAAATTGTGAAAGGGCAATATCGACATGATTTCACTTAAATAGAGAAGGGACATGTGCTGTAAAAAAAAAAAATTAAGGTAGCATTTCACCCTCATAATGTTACTTTTTATAAGTATTTTAACTTGTTCTCACCTGTCCTTCTAAATGTTTATAAAAATTGTGTATAGTTTTCGTCCGTGAATCCGTTTGTGTAATAAACAGCTTAAGTGTTCCAGACTATCCTCTACATATATACCATACTAGCTGTTCACGTGCGGCGTCATCCGCGTCATATTATTGAAACTTTATTTTAATGTCTACATTTGACAATTTCTCTAATGCAAATGTCAAAATTACCGTTTCCATAATAACCTTGCTTCCTTTATGTTGGCAGATAGTAGTTTATGGTCCCTTTCCCAAATGTAAGTTTTTTTTATTAACCCCCTAAGTTTAATAACGTGATAATATATAACCTAAAGCGTGTAGTAAGTGTAGAGCTTTTTATTAAAGATAGAATTATTAAAAAAACATCCTACGCCACAAAGAAGTGTGTGTTTACTCTTTATTACATTAGTATAGATTTCATCTTGATCTGTTCAGCAGTTTAGGCTACAAACTCTAACAAACATCCATCTAAACTTTCGAATTTATGATTGGTAAAATATTGTTTTGCAGTTGCTACTGGTTTTCAATTCTTCTATTCACTAACAGTTTCTTGAGACTGTCGCAGTAGAGTGTAATAACTATAAGCGCCTTTTAAGATCTGAAAACATAAGGATTCATAATGATATCTTTCCTTTAAATCTATGCATATAATAAAACTAGCTGTACTCGTGCGGCTTCATCCGCATGATTTTATGTAAATTTTATTTTATTGTTTACATTTGTCAAATTATCAATAGCATATGTCAAAATGACATTACATGACATGACAAACCTTAGCAATCTTTCTTTCTTGATGTTGGCAGCAACTTATCGTCTCTTTCCCACATTAGGGTTTTTATCCAAAATATTTACCCCTTAAGTTTAATACCGTGAAAATATATAGCCTAAAGAATTATTCAAAAATATGCTGTAATTGCTGACATCTTAGGCAACAAAGAAGTGTGTGTTTACCGCTTTATTATAATAGTATAGATTGCAGCGTTTGTTCGTCATATCAAAAGAATAATTCCAGATTTCGGGAAGATCATGTATTTACGTTTCTTATAACAAAATTCCCATTTTTTTTTGTGTGTCTGTCCGCAAGCCGCGTTTGTACCGGGCTATCACCGAAATGGCTTTGCTGATTTGAAGCGGACTTTCACTGAAAGTAGCTGACATAGAAGGGAATAATATAGGCTACTTTTTAATCTTAATACTGCGTGTACGAAGTCGAAGTCGTACAGTTTTGAATTTGATTTTTTAATAAACAATGCACTTACATTTATAAAAGTGGCCACAGTTAAATTGGTGAAAGGCCCCGCGGAGAAAACTATAGTTCTATTAAATTGTCCGATAATTATTTGAATATCCTTTTGACTGTATTTGTTTCTGTTCCACCAAATACTATTGTATGGACCATTCATTACTTGCATACTCTGAAAAATCATACAAAGTTATTTAATGCAATAAAATTAGGGAATCCATTAAAAGCGGGCGCACACCTTTGAAGAAACCATCGCAATGTTGTGCGATTGTCGTTTGTTTCGCAGCCAATTCAACTGTTTAGTTGCACAACTAAAGATCGTGTAGTGTACAAAAGCTTATAGGAATCAAAGCAAGATTAAACAGTAGTGCCATAATCTAGTCAAAGGTGCTCGCTCGAAGAGCTTCGACGCAAAATATCGTGCTATAATATCCATCAAAAATAACATAACTTACGCCTATAACACAGAGGTAGGCAAAGACGGACCATTTAGCTCGGTCATTAGATATGAATGATGTGGGTAAGACTGAAGAAAGTATGGATTACGAAAGAGGATATACTTAAGAAGGTATTCAGATTTGACGGCTGATAGAGTTGTATGGAAGAGCACATACTGTGCCGACTTTCCTAATAAATGCGGATTAATGTTGGTAAACTCCAATCTTCGTGACATTTGAATAACATAATTAACTTTATTTTCGTTTTTATTAATAGAACTCGCATTCTCCCGCGACTCCGTCCGCGTGGAGTTAAAAAAAACTGACAAGTCTATCTAAATTATCCTCTACATCTATAGCAAATTTCATTTAAATCCGTTCAGCAGTTTAGGCTTTATAATATTAGTATGATGAGTAGAAGGCTATCTTTTTAATAGTTAAATTTACTTCAAGTCAATCAAATGAACGATTTTAAGTTTTACTAACCGCATAAAAGAGGTCGTTACTGTGCCAACAGTAAATAAACAATTGAGCAACTCCAAAGATTAAATATTCCGTAGTGAGGAAGCGTTGCATCGCACTCGTCTCCACCTGAAAAGTTAGTTACGTTTGACATCAAAGGGGAATATTCAACAAATTGAAATGTACAAAGCAATTTTTAAATAAACTTATATTCAACACGCTTGCTTACTTTCTGACTTTTAATGGTTTTTTATTCAATTTTCAGTACATTTTTGCATCTGATTCATTACGTTTTAATTTAACCTTGACATTTGACCTTCTAGATTTGAAATTCAAAAGACAAGCGGCCATGAGAATTTGCATACATAACAAAGTGATACGAGAAACAACAAAAAGAGTATATTTCCTCGCTTAATATTCCATCCATAGAAATGAAAAGAGAACTAAATCAAGTTCTCCGACATACATATTCTTCAGACAGTGGTAGAGCGTGCTTAAACATCTTCGCACTGTAGGGTCGGCTCGCCCTGTGTATATCACGACCGAACAGAAAACAGGTGTGAAGTGGAAGCAATTCCAAAATGAGTGTGGTGTCGAAGGCCTAATTTTAGTCCCTTTCCCTTTCCATCCATTTTTTAAGAGGAAAAGATGGGAAGGGAAAGGGGATTTGACGGTGGGGGAGACGCATAGAAATGGGAAATGTCCTCTTTATGTACGCCTCCTCCTTTGTCAATTAAGGGTAGGCAACGCATCTGAAATTTCAGATATTTGTGGGCAGCGGTCGCTTTCCATTTCGGTTTAATTAGGCGGCCGCTTGCTTCTTTGCCACTTTATATTATAGAAAAGTCGAAACAATGAATTCCATTTGACGCTTGTTTACACTATCCTTCCCCATCTGTTGTCGCTGGTATAGATGTGACCAGCCAGGAGGGAATATAATTAAATTGCTTACTGTAATTTGATAAGCCGTAGCGCACAACATCACTGAACAAACAAACATATATAGTAGCATTATTGGAGAGAGGCAGGAATCAAATAGACGGGTGTACCTGAAAATATTTTTAAAATAAATTGACATAGAACATACTGTTAAGGTAAATTAAATGATAACAATAAAAGAAATAGTTTAACGGCTAGTCCAGAATAACGCGCACACCTGAAACTAAACTATCGCACAACTGTTTAGTCTCGATTTCGATGAAATTTGGTACGGATGTAGAGGATAGTCTGGAAGAACACATAGGCTACTCACTTTTGTTCTTTTTTTAATTCGTAGCGAACGGAATCGCGGGCGAGAACTAGTTGTAATATAGTTCACTTACTTTATCAACTCTACGTGTCGTCTATAACAATTCCGTAGACGAGCATTAGCAACCTCATCTGATACAGGATTGGATTCCGTACCAAAAATATCAGCACAATCTAATTTTAACAACTCCAATTCACCTTTGAAGAAAACCATTATAACCATTGCATTTGTATCGAATGATGTTATCCATCCACCTCCGTAAATTGACGCGTAACTTTGTATAATCGAAGCAATTATATGACCAGGGATTGTATTCTTATTGAAAGGTACCCAAGAGCTAACCACTTGCATATACGATTCAGTGCCATTTCTAACAAGTTCTCTATAAGTTGGTAATGCTAAGAATTTGTATATCGGTTGTGACATCACTATAATGACAGTTGTATACATTAATGCCCAGTATAAGTATGTTTTTCTTCTACAGTATTTTGTATATTTATCTATGGTTATTTTTTTATTTTTTTCATTAGTAATGCGTTGTGCTAAATCAGCTTTGTTCACGTATTCGATTATATTCTTCCAATATTTCTGCCAGAATAGAAAGGTTGTTACTTTGATCACGCTTACAGTTGCCAGCATTGTTATCTTTAAATTATTCAATAACAAACTTATATCGGATTTTATAAACCAGATATCAACGTATTCGGTTGCTGTGAATATTATAACAGACAGATGCATTAGTAAATAGATATTTCTTAATAATGTTTTCTTCGGTAGTAACAGTCCCCAGAATTTTAATGCCTTAACATTTGGTCCTAGTAATGGCATCCTCTCCGATTCGAGTTTCTCAAGTAAATGTTTCAACATTTTGATTTGAAGTAATTTGTCTTTGTCAAGCGAAACCTTATATACTTCTAGCGTGTTCTAATTTACTTCGATATGAGTTAATTTGAGAATAGTGTTGTGCCTTTTAATGGAATATTTTTTTACTTTAATGTTCGGGAAAAAATAAACAACGTTCTTCGATATTAAAAACAGGTTATTAATATTGCGACAATAGTGTTTAGATACAATGTTCAGATTTTTTAAACCTATATGGACGTTTTGGTATTCCCAAAAATGTATTGTACTAGTTAAAGACGTTTTTTGGTCAATTTAAAAAAATTGTAAAAAATTTTTTTATATTCAAAAAAATATAAAAAAATTTCGAGACAGTCAATCACTCTAATGAAATGCAAGAATAAAAATTGAAGAAACACTTTTCTTACATTATAGTAATGATATACAATTTGGTACCTAATTTTAAATCCCTCGAGGTTTTCAGACATATGCAAAAACTCACATCAAAAAAAATCTTACTAATAAAAATGCAAAAGTTTAAATGGATGGATGTTTGTTAGAGTTTATAGCTTAAACGGCTGAACGGATCTCGATGAAATTTGGCATAGATGTAGAGGATAGTCTGGAAGAACACATAGATCGCTTTTGTTTTTAATACACGCAGACGGATGCGCGGGCAAAAGCTAGCAACTAAATAAATGTTGATTCTTTTTCAGAATAAATTAATTAAAATGGGCATTATTAACAAACTATATAATTAATTAACATATGTATAAAAAAGGTAAAGAAAAGCACTTTGTGGCTTTATAAAATGAATATGAAAGTTCTCTAGTTACATCTCTAAAGAGAAAGAACAAAATATTATTTTTCTCATTATATCAAAATACTAGAGCTGTGTTAATTATAGTCACAGAGAAGTTATAATAAAAAAACGTGAAAAAATAAAGTCGATTCAAACTTAGGTCAACAAAAAAATATTTTGATATATGTTTGTAACATAGAACTTCTAGTCATACTAATATTATAAATGCGAAAATTTAGATGGATGGATGTTTGTTAGAGTTTGTAGCCTAAACGGCTGAACGGATCTCAATGAAATTCTGCACAGATGTAGAGCGTAGTCTGGAAGAAAACATAGGCTACTTTTTATCCCGGAAATAGTTACGGTTCCCGTGGGATGCATTAATTTTGTATTTTAATGTTTACTTGATCACTCTGCAAAGGTTTAACATATCCTATTGAAATTTGTCACAGATAAAAAAAAGTCTGGAGTACACACGCGATAAGGTTCATCCTCGAGATATTTTCGGTTCCCGAGGGTCTATGAAAAAACATAGATGGCGCTAGTTAATTACGATTGTTTCATTTTAAGATAAAAAGAATTGCATTACTTAAATAAAGTGATATATATGTAACGTAAAAAAAAGATTGTGAAGGCAACTGTAAATGTTTTTGAATATAAATTTTTTTAATCAAAAACTATTTTTTTTGTCACCTCTGTATTAAGATACTCTATGATCGTAACGCTATTTCTTATTAAAATTAATAGCAACGTAATTACAGTTATATTGCTTCATATTCTTCAGAAGTGTGAAAATAAATATAACGTAATTACGTTGTTATTAGGATAAAGATAATTTCTACCCCAATGTTATTTAATCAACAATATAATCTTCATAAATTAGTAAGTATAGAAAGTCTTATTAAAACATAACATGCCCATACCACTCTAACCTTTTACTCCTTATATTCTCAACCACTGGGGCTACTCTCAAACGTCCTCTAATATACTTATTTCGTATCTTATCCAATCGTGTTACACCACATCCATCTTAACATTCGCATTTCACCCACACGTATTCTCCTTACATCCGTCACTATATCCGTATTTTATCACAAAAGTTTGGCACAATTTTAAAAGACAATTTTAATATTGTCCTAAAATTCTACATACATGTTTTTCTTGCCTTAATTATGTGCGTTCCATATTCATAAATGCGGCGTAAACGAGAGCGGTTTTTGGGCCAGAATAATGTTACAGTGTTTTAAGAAAATTGCTCCCTTAATATGAAGTTTTTTTTTTCATTTTCATTTACGTAAAATTGTATAGACTAATACAATTGACCTATTTGAACTGAAGACAAAAATTTTATAATCTATAATTAAAAACTAAAAGTTTCTAAAATATTAGACATTAGCTTTCGCCCGCGACTCCGTTCTCGTGAAATTAAAAAACAAAACACGTAACCTGTGTGCTGTTTCAGACTGGTAAACTCTAAAAAATATCCATCCATCTAAACTTTCAAATTTATAATACTAGTAAGATTTTTGACGACTTCACTACCTTGTTAAGTAGCCGAAGATTGGGTTTTAAGAAATCTAAAAATAATCTTGTCATTATTTTTTCTGCAATATCCTCAAACAAACAAATACGAGTACAGAAAGACCTTCCTTCTGTTATACTACTAAAAAAATTATTCACCTCTCCCTTCTTTTTATATTCATCAGTACAAGGTAATATTTTACTCTTCTGCAGGCTTCTATTAATTCGATCCATATTAACATTCACGTCATATAGAAGCGTTGCGTATTCTCTTTGTGAATGTGTATTAAATTTGATCAGACTGCCATACTGGAAAGATTAATCTTTGGTAAAAATTACACGAATATCTTGTTCCATGAGCGTCCCCAGCCGATGGCCTGAGCTGGAGTAGATTGATGACCGTAGGGGGAGGCACGAAAATGATCCAGGGTGCTAGACTATAGTATCCTAATAAAGCGTAAACGCACACTTCTTTGTTGCCTAAGATGTCGGCAATTACAGCATATTTTTGAATAACTCATTTTTTAAGAAAGAGTCCTACACTTCCGCCACGCTTTAGGCTATATATTTTCACGTCATTAGAAATACTTAGGAGGTAATTTTTTTATTGAAATCCTAATGTGGGAAAGATACCATAAGTTGCTGCCAACATCAAGGAAGCAAGGTTTGTCATTGTCATGTCATTTTGATATTTGCAATTTTCATAATTTTATGCGGATGAAGTCGCACGGGAACAGCTAGTGATAACATAAAGACAATACTTATCAACTTGTGTAAGAGGCACCTTACTTATAAATATAACTATATGTATATTTATTTTACCATATTAGAAACCCCCACGGCTGGGCAGGTGCCTCCTGTTCTATACTTCTTGACGACGATGTTTTAGTCTGAATATATTATCATACTTTCTTGTAAAGTTTGCTATATTTTTAACATTCTGTATATTTCATTTATGTATGTAATGTATTAAATGGAAAAAAAAGTAATTTTATGACGGCCATTTCTATTTAAATGTAAACCGTAGTAACGGTTATAAAACTTTCAAATTGATCATAATAAAATTGAAATCATAATATCACATAACATTTTTTATTATATCATAATTTAATATTTATAGGATTTACGAGGTCGTAGTTTGATAATTTGATTGATGTTTTTTATTGAAAGTTGCTTAAAATTAAACAACAGATTGCTATTGAACGTTTTTCAACTGTTTTTTAATGAGTTTAATGTTATTTCCGATTTAACAATAATTTCATCATTAAAAATAATAAAAAGTAGTCGTGCACTAGTATTTCCTGATCAATTTAAAACAAGACATAGATGTAATTTAAAATCGTTATCATATTGAAGACATTAAAAACATGTTTTTTCATTAAATTGAAACAATTGTTACCATTAAATTGGGAAAGGGATTCTTTTGTTATTTTTGCAATCGAGTAACCTTAAATTAACCGATTCACAGTAAAAGTTTGCGGAAACAAGTTATTCGTCGGTACGTTGGCAACAGCTGGGAAAACACGACACGGTTTTATTTACCTTTGAGCTTTTGTAAATTTTATTTTTGACATTGTTTCGGAGCTGAAAAATAAAATTGAATAAACTACAGTATGTTACTGACGAAATAGTTTGTCACCGAGGTTTTTTAGGCTGCATTATTTTTACAAAGAATAAATTTAACAGAACTGTAGTATTCAAATTGAATAAGATTTTTTAAGTCATAAAACAACAAGTTCTTAATTAATAAAAAAATCAGATGGGAAGTGGGTTAGGGAAGAGGTACAGGTAAGGGAGATATCCTCTTTTTGTGCCTCCTCTCCACTTTTATTTAAAGATAGACAACGTATCCAACTAAACAAAATTACTCACACTTCATTTCGTAAGCGCTTACAATCTGTCAACCGTAAAAAAATGGAATTTAGAGTTTAATCTTTGCCTTATATTTAATATGCTGTTACAAATTCAAATGTCGTTGCACTAATCAGCCTTCACTTTATCACAGTAGACTTAACTGCCAACATACTCATCTACTTAGAAGTTAGTGTTGGCTTTCATGAGAATATTTATCTCATATTTCCATGCAAGACTTGTGTTTAAGAAATCTCATCTAAGGCTAGTTGTAAAAGTTTACTAAGCAGCAACAAACTTATCCAGTAAGCCACGACTTGCAACTATTAGATAAGGCATGTGCTCTAAATGTGGTTACTTTACAATGGGTGTGGTCGTACTTATAGCGTATTTTTACAAGCTGAACCTGGAATTAGTTGCAATAAAAAGTAAAATTATTATGAAAGCTTAATAAGTAATGAAAATAATGTAAAATAATCTTAAACAAAAAGTGTAATTAAAAATTATTATCTTCCTATTTATTTAGTTTTATGAGATATTAATCTTTTTATGACCTCTTCGAAAAATATTGTCGAAATTTGAATAAATTCTGCCCAGTGGTTTAGTAATATGGTGAACATAGATTGTTTTTTTTTTTTATTATTTTGACATAGATTAAAAATAGTTATAATAATGTGATAAATATTTTTCAGGTAAAATGTATAATTTATCGTTATAAACTCTAACACTTGACCCCACCTTTATAAAGTTTGCCACATAGTGTGGATAAGATCTAAGTCGTTTTGCAACTCACAAAACCGTTTTGCATGTTGCATTGTTGCTGTTCCAAATCATTTGTACGTGAGCTTCAAAC